AATAAGCTTGTACGAAATACTCTTTCAAATATTTGGTAATCATGAATTCATCTACCCCTATAAAAATATTACTAAAATAAACTGATTAATGTTCTCGATAGTTCTCTTAGGAGTTGCAATACTTTGCACAATCGCCTATTCATCCCCCTGAAATACAATTTGTATATCGTCTGTTTCAAACTCCCCACTAGTACTAATTTTTTTTTTTTTAAATCATCTCAGGAAGATTTCTCTCTCATCTTTTCTCTTAGGTGCCCCTCCGATATGTAGTACGCTAATCTCTATTACATAGTAAATACCAAAACGAATTTTTGTATTTATTCGTCTGTATCCCTAAATAGACAGCACTTACACTGTTTCCCAGCACCTGGCACAACGCCTGTTCAATTAATTCCTTGCACGTAGCGAAGTACTCCAGAGTTAAAGATAACTAGAGTACCCCCTGGAGACATGCCAGGCCTTGAAAAAGCATTTTTCTTAAACTGTTTGGAGTGACAGCACTGCCACTAATGGAGGAACAGTAAGTGATTCCCAAGATAATTAATTCTACGCAGTTAGAATCGCTGTAAGGTAAGAATACTCAAACACAGTTATTTTTGTTTTAACTTACTAATTATTAAAACACTAATGGGACAGTGCGTCAGGGAGCCGCTATGTGTTAATGCGACCTAAGCAAGACACTTGAGAGTTAAATTAAAGAAAACCCCACACAACAGAGGAGTCTTGCAGTACTAACTCTTCTCACGTCTTCAGTTCCCAAGTATCTGCAATCGTCTGTATTTACATTTCGCCCAAGATACACCCTGGCGACCTCAGCTCTGTCCCCTGCTTCCCCTCCCCTGTAGTATCAAGGATCCCGATCCTCTATTAGCCCTTCCCTTTCCTACGCAAGGAGCGAGCCACGAAGGAACAGCGACACTTTCTGGCTCCCCGCCGCCCCGCGCTTGCTCCAGCCCAGCTCCCCTCCGGCCGTCCTCCTTCCCGCCCCCAACGGTCCTCAGGCCCAGGTCTCACCTCTCCACCCACTCCCTCAGGAAGCGCATTTCCTCGGTGTGCAGAATGCTCGGATCCTGCTTACACATTTTCACGAAGGCCCGAAGCTCGCTCACTTTGCGGGGGTCCATGGTCAGTAGGCGGAGGACGCGGCAGAGGAGGCTGCGGCCCGATTCCAGGCCCGGGCGCTAGCTCAGCGTGATCGCGTAGAAGGGGGCGGCTGCCGCGAGGCAGAGCAGACTAGAACCTCCCCAGCCACTGGCTCCTCCCACTCAACGGTCTCGTGACCCCGGGTCCTTCGCTTGCTCATTTCTACTCCCTATACCTCTGCTCCTGCGTACTGCCTAGAACCTTCCAGAAGCTTGGCTGTTCCTGCTGTTGCCTGCCTCTCTACGCACGCATTCTTATTTCAACTCTGAACTAGTTCCCGGGATGGGTCAAGCCCTACATGGGCGCTTTCAAAGAGACAGGAAATATCAGCCTCTCTAGGAAGCCATTTACAATCGTATATTCTGTGAATAAACATTAACCGGAGCACAACGTCCCGACGAGAAAAGAGCAGACTAGCCAGAGCATTGGTCAAAGATCCGGGCGTGACGTCAGCATTCTGCGCCGCCGCAGAAGGAAAGCCCGCGACCGGCGTCCGCCGGAAGGGGAGGGGCAAGTGGCCCGGTTTCCTGGCGACGCGGTGTGCTGGCGGCTGTTTTCCTGGATTCTGCCTCTTTCCTTTCCTGACGCGTGAGCTAGGTCGATATGCCTTGGCTGCTCTCAGCTCCCAAGCTGGTTCCTGCTGTAGCCAACGCCCGCGGCCTCTCAGGTTAGACTCTCCTCCCACGGTGTCCCCTCCAGGGCTTGCTCTGTGAGAAGTTGAGGAGCCCCAGAGGGATCCAAGTTGGTCTCAGGAGATCCCTGGCTTGGCGGACCCTTTTCCTACTGGGGCCTCCGCTCCCCAACCGTTTGTGCTCTTCGCAGATTTCTTCTTTACCAGCTGCTCCTGGAAAAGGGTGGGCCATATGTTCCCTCTACCTTTGAGGTATTCTGGGAAGCCGAAATGACTGCAGAGAGAATTGTGTGCCATTCCGCAGAGGGGCTGTCTTCAGTTACTCCGACTCAAGTTGTGTCAGTTACCTCACTTGCTTAGGTGACAAAGTGTCTCACATCAAGTAGCGCTTGTTTCTGTTAGGTTAACCTAAAATCTTATTTTCGTGTTTTCAAAGAGTTGATTTGATAGCTGGCTCCAGAATATATGAGAAATAAGTTCTAGTGAAAAAATTTTTGAGCAGTTCCTCTCAGAAGAGATAATGTTGGGAAACACTGCTGGAGCTTTTTGTGTCTGAAAGTCCTGTTTGTAAAGACAAGATAAAGTAGCCTAGGAGTAAGGGAGATCATTTTTTTTTTTGTCAGGTGTCCTCTATCGCAAGCAATTAATCCGATTAACGTATAGCTTTATCAGTGAAAGCCAAATCATCTGCCCTGCAGGCGGATCTGTCACTGCATCATATTTCATGTGGGAAAGCCAATATGTAAACAGTGTGAACCGGCGCACATGGTATTTGATATCAAAGCTATGTCTTGCCGTATGTTGATGTTGATATCTTGAATTCATTGAAAATGGAATGTTAATTATGTCGACTTCTTACTGTGAAAAAAATAAAAAGTCATTGTCCAGTGCACGGAACTTGTTCTTCAATTCCAATAGTAAAGTTGCAGAAAGCTGTCCCTTTCCATGGGATTAGGTGAAAATA